CCCTTAAGTTAAGTATCGATTTGTTGATTTCTTTGCAACGGTTTCAAGTCCATTGTCTAAAGTAAATTTAAAATGCATAAATGGGAGCTTTGCTTTTAGCTGTGGCTAAATCTATATATCAATATGAAACTAAAGACTTAACCTTGATAGACTTGACTCCTGCTGCACTTGCAGCCTTCTGATAAGCATCACTTGAACACACACAAAAAGTGGCCTGACAACAGAAAAACATAATCATTAATCTTAGCACAGCTGTATACCGCATCAAAGGGATTTGTTTTATACTTAGTTTTGCCTGCAGATACTTCAGTGGCGCCACTCTCTCATCCACAACAGGTATATCGATTTATACAACCAAGAGAAATCGTGAATTTGGTATAAAAGGTAGCCTCCCATGCAGAAGTTCTTACGGTTTTGTCATGTGTTACTTCGTGGGGAAGGAACGTGTGAAAAAAAATATATTCTGCGTGTAAGGCTAGCAAAAAAAGGTGACATAATGCGAGGAGTAAGGGCAGCTTCACATGAGTAAGCAATGCTAATGCAAACTCAAGTAAAATCACCAAAGATGGCTTTCACACATCCAATGCAAAATCAAGGTCATGCACAGTGAGGTACACATGCCCATTTGAGCATCCCGCATACCAACATAGCATACCTCATAGCACACAACTACATGTAACAGTCTTTGCTGAGTTTTTCAATGGATGGCTGATGAAAATCCAGTTAGTAATAGTTTCTACAATAACTCGAAATAAAAGTTAACCACAGGCTTCAAACAATGTGGCCATAACCTTACCCTGCTTGACAAATCAATGGTATGAAGTTTCTGAAGCCAGGCAAATAATCCTGGGTCAGGAGGTCTGCTAAACTTTGCCATAAATGAACAAAAGTGCACAAAGTAAACAGGGACATCGGTCTAAAAAAAAAAAGAAAAAAGGAACACTTACATGAGAATTTTGATATTTTGTTGCTGTTGTTGTTGTTTTGTTTTGTTTTTGTTTTTTTTTTTTTTTTTTCCTTTTTGTTACTATTATTATTTTTTTATTTTTGTGTGTATGTGGACAGTTAACAGGCAGAGCTCATAATGAAGTAAAACAAAATGAAGCTGAATGTTCAATGATGAAGCTGGGGATCTTAGTGACAAAAAGAAAGGGCTGTGCTAGTGTTTCCTCCAGAAGTTTTAAGTGCGGAGAGCAAGAAAAAAAGGAGAGAGCTTTTCACTCATTTGCTCACCCCAGAGTGATACCCTGTTGTGCTAGCAGTCAATAAATCCCCTGTAGTTTTTATTTTCATACACACACATGATGATCCATTAAGAGAGAATAGAATCTCTGTAAACAGACTAGGGCCGGGAGAGAAAGGCAAGCAAAGCAGCTGGTGAAGGTTTGCTATCAACAGAAAATAATAATGCTTGTACTCCCCCTATGGAGGGCTTCTTGGTTTCATGAGCCATCACCCCACTACGTACCCTACCCCTCTGGGAATTCCCGAGTTTAGCTTCAGACTTTCTTTTAGAACTTTTGGGGTTTAAGACACCCCAGGCTCTATCTTGTCCAGTAGCCCTCCAATGGCTGGGTAGGAATATTTTTAGGAACCACACACTGTACGTTATCCCATGTTATGTACCTGTGTTGCCAGTTCACTCAAATCCCTCTTCATTTTTTCAACACATTCACAGCTTCCTTCTGTTTAAGGAAACACAAATTAAACAGATAAGTGAAAAACGTAGTTACAATTTATTAAGGGGAAATAATAAATTATAATAAATATTGAAATTCAATTCAATAATGCATTAACATGGGGGTGTGTGGCGGTAAGTATTATTTCCATTTTACACACTTCAGTAGCTTCAATACAGCTGGCTTTGCTTACAGGACATGTCATAGAAATGTTTCCTTGGTCATCAACCTTTACGTCACATTTTTTAGGGCTTCTGTTATTACATGATGGTGAGATCTTCCACAGCTAACCCTAAAATTCCATATAATTTATTGCATAATCCATAGGAAATCGCACAACTTATAAAAACTGCATTATCTTGAGAGAAAAAAATTTACTGATCATTTAACAAAAGTTAAGGTTTGGAAACAAGCAAGGTCTCCTGGAGACCTTCAAAAAATACGATAAAGGAAAATACTGTCTGAGATAGAAGGTGATGACCGATTGTGGACCAGTGATGCTGCTCCTCTGTCACGTGTTTGTTTCAAAATAAAGAGATGTTTCTGCTTAAGATTATGCTCATGTTATGCTTATTTACAACGAACCTCTATTGAGTAACCTCCATAAAGCGGCCACTTGCAGGTACACCATGCAAGGGTGACCACTTAACCCTTTAAGTCCCGATAGTGACCAACATCAATTTTCTCCTAACAATATCCATATGTTGCCAGAGAAATGATTATGAGAGTTAATAAAACATGATCACCAAAGAAAAAATTCTTTGTTCTGTTATCAAACTCTCTCAACTTTTTTTTTTTGAGGAAATGTATGAAGGTCAGTATGGAGAATTTATATGTGGATATCGGGGCTTAAAGGGTTAATGGAGGTTCAACTGTACACCTGCAAATTCTTGGCCAATTACAAAACCTTGGAAAGGACCAGATGAAATCAACCTTTGCATTCCTATCCCTAAACTTTTGTCATTTAGTGAGTTACAGTATGGGCTTTGTAGGTTCAAATCCAATCCAATCTCTGTGGTTTATGAGCAACAGAGTCTGGAATAAGCTACGGGGTACAGTTAATGAGCCTTTTTGGACTGTAAGACAAGTGAACCTTTTTCAGTCAGACAAGGTATAACTATTGCCTTACCAGGACATGGTTGCTTGGCACTCAAATGAAATACAATAACTCTTCCACAAGGATTACTCTGGCTCCACTTTCCTATAATGCCAATGGCCACCCTCTTAGCATTACACTGAACTTCCTCTGCATCATCAAAAAGTCCCTCCCACTGGAGAAACAGTGCTGGAACAACAAACTGCAGAATAGCTAGTGGTCAACTTCATAGATCAAGAGGTGTCTCCCAAATTATTAATACAGGTTTTATTTTGTTTTTTGTTTTTTTGGTTTTTTTTTCAGAAAATATGAGAATTGAAGTGTGCTTGGAAATTTACAATGCAAACTCACTGACTTTTGGGTCAATCCCAAAGCATCTGAGCTACACAGAGACTTATGAAAAATGCGTTTAACTATCCATCAAACATCTTGAATACTAAAAAGAATCAATAAGGGGGTTATTAAGTGGAAAGTTTTTGAGCCACATACATCAACTAGAAATGCCCTTTTTGCATTCTTAAGTACTGGTTTTGCTCAAATTTTCCAGCAACACATATCTCTATAAGAGTAACGACATGTATCAACAAATTTGGGAGCATGAAGGCATATTAATAGGAAAAGTTGTCACTTCCAGTTGACGTGCATAATTGCTCACAAACGCCTTTGATTTAGCTCACTAATAAGAATTTTTCTGTTACCTTGTAAGGTGTGTCACATATCAACTGGATTTCCACCTGATCAATTTTACTAAACCCCTCTCCTTTGACAGGTAATTCTGAAAAATTAAAAGCATGACCCATCTTGGAGCAAAAGACATTACTTGTCAAATTACTACTGTATATTAAATGAATGTACCGGTAAATATAAATTTTATAATTATTAACGCATCAACCTACTATTAAGCCAAATCTTACCTACACTTCTCTTCTCAAACCAATGCTCACTGTTCTTCACAGTCTCAATTTTAAATGTTGCATCATCTGACAGACATTCAAACTGATGAGCAAGTTGCCATTCTCTGGCCCATTCACAGATCAACAGTCCATCACAAGAATTAACATGAAAATATACCACTCTGTAGGAACAGTATGGAACCTGCAGAATTAAACTGAAACAATTAGCTAAGAACCAATATTACTTGCAAAATTTATTGACTTGCTAACTTGTGAAAATACAGAAAAGGCCATAAACATTTAACCACACCACACAGCTGTACCTTATTTCTGATAATATTCAAGTAAGATTTTCTTGATTTCTTGGTGCTCTTTTCATCATCCAAAACAACACTCTGTCCCTGAAATGGAATCATATTTTTAAGACAAGAATTGTCTGTTGTCCATTTGTATATATTTTTAAGCCGAAACAGATTTAAATACCTGTACAAAAAAATTGTCAAGCTTTCTGACATTCCAAGGGAAAGTCACTTGCAAAAATGACCTAGTACAGGCTGCAGTGAAAAGGCAAGGCCAAGCCTGGATGCTTTGCATTAAGAGAGGTGTTCATTAATAAATCTCATGCACTAGCCATTACAAAAACGTAATTCATAGAATTTGCTGGGGCAATATATAAATGTATAACGTTAATGGACAGGGCTGTCCACAGTAGTTGAAAAATTGAATGAGTTATATGTAAATCCCGTATGCAAGGTTCTGGCAACAGATAAGGATTCTACACCTCGATTTATATACCTTTACTTAAGATCTGTTGTTGTTTAGAAAGCTGTGGGACAGAAAAATAAGACTGAATTTGAAAAGACGTCATCTGTTTGTGGAAGGCTTTATTAAACCCCACAACCAAACCCCACCCCCCACCACCGCCGCCACCACAACCAACACCACCCCAACCCACACCACTGACATTTCATCCCTTGCCTTGTAAGACCTGTATAGATCTGTACACCCAATATACTTTCCAGCTTTAAGCTTAATACCACAATTTTTCTCCCCTTTCTTGGATATATTTCTTCAGTGAAATCCTAATTCCTTGCCCATGCCCCACGGGATATTATGCACTTTATAAGTTGATCTCCCTTTACCTTGCTTACAACGTTGACAACTTTAAGAATCACAGCTCTGAGGCTCAGAGAAGGATCAGCTTCAAAAAGCTCATGAGGACAAATCCTCGCATGTGTTTGAGAAAACTCATGAGCGTAAAACAACGTTTTTCCCTTAAAAGTACAAAATAAAAAATTAATGTAAGTTAAGTTCAACCAACGCAAGAAAGGACGACATTCTCGGGCATAAGCCCCTCAAACAGTGCCCCAGGTTCTCGCATCACTTACCCAGATGTCACGAAAAAGTTTATATACTTACTGGAAAAGGGGGACCATAAAAAAATACAACTTCTGGAGCCACAGAAGCCATTATAATTCAGGTTGTTAACAGCAATAGAAAACTGCATTTTATAGATGAATGGGGAGATTCCCTCCATAATACATAATAGGGCAGCGGTCAGAGTGACAGGCTCAATCATAAGCATGCGTGATGTAAGCTGCTCCATTTGTCCGCCGAATTTTTGTGCAACTGATGTACGCCTTGGGGCGGAGGCTCTTTACGCATTTGAAAAGTTATTGCGTTTTGCATAAAGAGCTTAGTTAAAGCCTAGTTATTAGTTAAAGCATATGGAATCCACTTTCCTACAAAACTGCTCCGAAATCACCAATTTATATCCTTCTGTCATAACTGATAGAGGGAAGCATTGCACGCATGCATCCCTTTGCGCGCGCGGCCTATAACAGTTCTGGCGCTTACGAGCGGCGCTTACGAATAATGATTTAAAAGACGCTAGAAACAAGCACTAGCCAAGGTTTTAACGAAGAGCAAGGAGACAACCAAACAAGGGTTATATAGCTCTCTACTCTCGGAAAAAAGTGTATGTTACAGCAATGCGACGTTCAAGTTATGTGAGCCGATAATAATTGATGCTTGATATAAAAATAAGGAAGAAAATAACACACAGATCGAGGTAACCTGACGTTTGCAAGTTTGTATTATTATAACGGAACACAGAAAAAAACACCGATTTATATTATCTAAATGATAATTTATTTTTCTCTACTTTAATAGAGATAAAGATTCAAAAGGCTGACAATGGTAAAAATAGGTGAAGGGACTCTTACTGAGCGGGACAAATGGAATAGACTAACTCACGAACAAGTCAAGACATTAGTGATTGAAATCAATCTTCAAGTAAGCCAAATCATTAAGGAAATTCAAGTGGAATTAGAACAACTGACAATCATATCCCCCGTTCATGAATGGTATAATATGGTTTTTCGATTCGAAAGAAAATTGAAAGCTCTTAGAGACAGCTTTCCTCCTTATTCAGCGGAGAGTTATAGATCGTTAGGGGAACTACGACACAGAAATATTCTGAGAGAGTTTAAGGAGTTCTGTGAGCGGAGGGACTATCAAGAGCGTTATTTAGGATTAAAAGCTGAGGTTTTAGCTCTGGAAGAAATCGTTCTGGAGCAAGGCAACGTGAAAAGCAAACAAAAAGAAATAAGAAAGCAACTTACAGAGCTCGCAAAGCAGATGGACTCTGATCACGCAGCTCTTGAGGATGCAAAAACGGGTATTCGAAACATCACTAGTACAATAATCAGGGAAAAAAAATCCATGCAGCGAGAAATATCACAGATGAAAGGCAGAAGAGCCAATGCATTGCAAAGGCTGACAGATCTGAGACAGACATTGAAGCAAAAGGAGATATTATTAAAGGAAACCACAGAGCAACGACAACGAGTAGAGGCCGCTTTGGAAAAAGAAAAAACGGAAAACCAACGACTCAAGAAGATTCTGAATGAAAGTTTGGTATAACAGAACTGAGGAGCGTCAGAAAAATACTAGTTTAAGCGGGGTGAATGAACTTAATAAACCTATTGTAAACTATCCAAGCGTCAGTAGTGTCTTTTACTTAATAAATTCAAAGTATCTTTTACCCTCCCACAAATGAAGAAAATATAATACAAAAACAACTCCGAAAAACATCTTGCTAACTTAAAATATAATTGTAAACAAGAAATGACACAAAATAAATAACCGTAATGTTTCGGTTCTTATTTCAAGACCATCATCAAAATTCAAAGTACATTGACAGAGAAAAGTGTATCCTGCTTGCAGTCGCCCCTGTGTTCCAAATCGACATTGCCGGAGTAAATTTTCGGTAGAGAACGCCCACCTCGTAGTATCTTTAACAATTCATTGTACAACAGTGTACCGTGATGGACTAATAGGCACTGGTGGTTACCAGCTAAGCCCTGATTTTCGCACCAGGAAACACGGGATCGGGAATTCTTTGCTTTGAAATTCTATACATTAAAAAAAGACTTTATAACTGTCTTACAATCGAAATCAGTTTAATCTACGGGATTTTAAAAAAACTCGACCACTCATCGTTCTTGTAACCAGCTCCTTAGTGTTGAAACTTTCCGATAACACCCTTCTTATTATTCAACGTATTACTGAACATTTCTAGGAATACTTAATACGCCTGAGAGCGTTTTTTGCCTTGTAAATATGCAGATATATTCAGGATAATACTAAGAATAACAAATTTACTGATAAAATGAACACAAACCGAGTAAAAATTTGGCTTATACAGGGAAATGAAATCTTTTCTCTAGGCTAATGTAGAAGTTTCTGTGACTTTATAACTGTCTGATTATACAGTCATAGATCAGCTAAAAACATTTGGCTAGTTGTTCCTCGTTTCATACTTCTTAGACCACTTTCTGTTTGATGTCAGATTCTTTGAGTTAAAACAAGTACGTACCCAGCACTTGTTTATCAGTCAAGAGTAAATAACCAAGAAGTAACAGTTGTAAACAGCGCCCACACTGAAGAGAACCATCATCAAGCGAGAATTTCAAATTGCTCTTCTCATGTATTTCTTCGCTCTCTTGTTGAAGGCCTGGAACTTGATCTTTCCCTGAGACACACTGACAAAGCCAACACCAGCTTGATAATTCTGCAAAGCAATTCCCTCAAGATCTGTTACAGTGACTTCGTAAAAGGCGTTGGTGGATTTCTGACCTGCCAAGACGGGCTGCTTCAAAACAGTCGGTAAAGATCTCTGATTCACCAGCTCATGTTGGCCGTAAACTGTCAAAAACGCCAAGCAACCGATGAAGAGGACGACTTGCATAATCACCGATCCACCACTTACCTTCCAGATGCCGAGAACACTCGCAAGACAAAATGCTCTGGCGAACTTTAAGAAGTAGAGACAGTCGATGTAAATAGGCAACTTTTCATGGGGAAAATATGGCCTGCTTTCTTTGATGTAATGGTTTGCTTTTGCATGCGCCTCATCTCTGATTGTAACACTTCCACCAACTTCTTCCACCTCTATCTCGGTGTGCTTGACTTGTCCGAGTTCAATTCTCTCAACAGACATTTCCTCAGAGAGCTCTTAGACTATTAAAGAACGAGATGAACTTACCTCACGGAAGTCAGTAAATGCACTGCAGGGGAGCTTTGTGGAATTTTACATAGATATTCATACAGATACTTTATTGTGAACTCTGACGGAAACCATCTTCGGACCTCTTTTGGAAGAGACCCCTGTGGTTCGCTTCAATAATTCTTCATATTTTGAGAGACGCTTAGAGGACATTAGACTTAAAACAAGTCGACCTCATTTGCTTTACAGCCAAAAAGCTGAAAATCTAGTGGAGCAGGAGCCGATTACTAGGTTTCTGAGTGGAGTGAACTTTTTAGGCCGCGAAGCAGCTGAGAGAGTGTCAAAGTCCCGAGAGGTCTACCCTTGTCCCGTGGGCAATGTAAGGGACCGAAAATTTTTTTTGTTTCGAGGCGGCTGTATGCAGCGGAGTGCAATGCCACGTCAGCCATTTAACACAGAGAACACCAACACAAGACCACAGCACGGTACAACATCAATTTCAATTCAGGATGGGTGCACAAGCACGCCAAAAGTCGCCGAGGTAATATGTATCCCCGCCACCCCTTACAAAAGTGCAGGACAGGACAAACAACTACAAAGCGAAAAACGCCACAGTCGGAATAGTTAAAAGACCCTAGAGACACTGACTAAGCTATTACAAATCATTAGTACCGACTAATGCAAGCTAATTGAACAGACTGACAAAGGACCTGGAGCACCCCAAGACACTGATGGCGCGCAATGGGATAGAATAGAAGGGCCAAACAGTGACGCAGGGGGCCAACAACCAAGAACAAAAAGCAATTTAACAACGCCAATGAACACCAAAGGACGTAAAACGCAGAAGGCAACAGAAGATTTACGAATGGACAACCAGCTGACCATCCCTAACAGATGCCACAACACAACGGGCACCCCACTGTCGAACAAAATAGGGACTTCAAGATACAACGACGCGACAGCAACGATAACGTCGCTTAAAAAGAGAATTTGCGTTCTTTCAATCATTATCGCAATTATTCCTACCCTCTAACTTGGTCAAATGTAGGCCAACCCTCCTGATTTGAATTCCTAGAGACCATATCCAAGTTCAGAAAGAGAAATTAAATTTCGTCGTTGCTTGTTTATGTTCTCCATAAAACGAGAAATTAGGCATTTTCACGTCGTAGTTGTGCAAAAACGGGAAAAGAAATTTACAAGCAAGTGTGATGCACGTGCAAAGTTGTTGTTTTGCTTATAAAACCTATTGTTTTTTGACGGTATCGTTCTCGTCCGCATCGTTTGATCTTAAAATCCCTAATAACGACCACGATGAGAGGATCGAAAACGCTTGAAGAGCAAAGGAAGTTGGAGACGAACACGCACCTTCACCTGCGCAAGGACAGCAACAGTACTAGGAGCCACATCACGAAAACGATAGTCGTTACGGGCCAACCCCAAAAAATACTTACACTGAGAACGTAGACAAAAACACGAGGGACACGAAGAGCTCATCATGGTTAAACCCAAAACGCTCGTGACGACACGCTAAAGATGGAATAAGGATTACCAGACGATACCCTCTACGGAGAACCCCATGCGCAATAGCTCACGTTCGATATGTATTAAAATCCTAACATGAATCCGAAACTTTTTGGTCATTTTTCTATATTTGGTTTGGTTTTCTTTGTGCTCAAGTCTCTTTTTTGGAATTACGAGACATATAGAGTCTTGAATAATTTGCAATTTTGACCCTAAAGCCTAAAGTCAATAGAAAATACGTCCACACTGTTGCTTGTACGGTCGTCTTTGTAGGACCCGCGCGCCTCTTTCCAGCTGTTCAAACAAAAACGATGGTCACGCGGTCGCTTTAACCGATTTCTACCGTTGCTTGTAAAGGACCCTTTTGTGTAGAAGTTTTCAGCAGTTTCTATGGTATTTTCTTTGTTGAAGAAGGCCAATTTATCAACTCCACATCGTCCCTCCACTTGTGCCGTCATTTTTTTTTAATTTGTTGACGCCGCCTCGCTTTGGTGCGCTGAATCGTGAAAGCGAGTCTTCCGGAAGTCAACCAGTTTACCGGAAACTGTTTCCGCGTGGTCTGCAGAGTTCTAAAAATAACTTTTTGAAAGTAAGATATCCCAGCCAACGCCCTTAGACCCCCTCTCTGTCCTATTATGGCTCTTGCTGATGTATAAATCTCACTAGTTCTCCAATTAAAGAATTTATGAAATATTAATAGCAATTATATTATTTTTCTAAAATGCCAGACGGCGCTGTGGCTCAAGTTTATTTGGTGAACCTATGAAATAGCTCTTAAATTACCAGGCAGCTGCACAACACCAGTACATTAAATAATATTTAACCAAAATAAGAACTTTAATTTATCCCTCAAAAAAGCGCTAATCCTTGAATAATTGTATGAAGCAGCTGAAAAAAGCTCGTCAGGTAAGCTTACTAAAACAGCCTAGCAACTATATAAATTTTAATTGAAAACCGACTACTTGAGTAGCGGTAAGAAAATTTTAAAACGAAACCCACGTGTTGCAAGCATGGCATTTGAACATATGCTTACCAAAAACTTGAAAAGTGGTAAGGAATTAAGCGCGTTCAATCGACAAACCGCTATGTTTTGACACGTGGCTCTGTTTTTTGGGGGGAGAAATTTGGACAAAACCTTTTTCACCTGCTTTTTGTATAGCACACATCCGAATTGCTGTATCTATACAAGGGTGCTATGCAAAACCTCATCTTCGAACGTAGAACTGCATATTTTCTCGGCGGAACCCAGGTAAAATTTATACATTCGTAAACAACTGTCAGACAGGAAAATTATCCCCACTCTTCTCACTGTTTTACCGCCATTTAGGTTTTTCTACGCGATGAAATCTCATTGGTTGAACGTACGTCATAAACAGGCTTTAAGTTCACCTTAAAGTTAACCTCCTCTCGCGCCCTACTTTTTCCGTTTCGAGAAAATGGCGGCCCAACAGGATGGTTTGGACTATACTAAAACTTGGGTAGGAAAGCTGAAAGCCGGAGAGCTAGTTTTTACACTCCTAGCTGGTGCATGCGGTTCTTCAGTTCTCTCCTATGTCAACACTTGTAGCTGTGCCCTGAAGTTCAGCTTCTTCGTTACTGTTGCGTGGACTGCCTTCATCAACGTCTTGATCGACGTGATAATCCATCTCCTTGGGCTGTGGGAACGACTTCTTTGGATTTTTCGACACTCTGCGGTTCATACAGTCCTGTGTGTGTTGGCAGGCATTGGTTTTCTTATCGGCTCCAGTCTAGCTGCCTCATGTGCGAAAGATGTGTGTGTAACACAAAAGAGTACCGCTGGGGCGGCTTCATTCTTCGGCTTCGTCTGCTTGGCCTTGTTTGCTCTCGAGTGCTTCTTTCACTTCAAGGAGTACAGAAGCATGCAAAGCGAAGCTCGTGAACAATCTTCCGCGCAAGATAAGCCGCCAGATTACTATATCGAAGAAAAACCTACAAGTGGACCTGGAGTTGTGTGAAGATGTTTCCAAAACAACTCATATACCTTTCCCTGCACTAGGTATTTGAGGCGTATTTGATATTTTTGAGAGCCGGCCCACATGTACATTCTAACGACGTTTCCAGCAACAAAAGGAGGAGCGAGAGAGTAGACGTGGACATAAAGGATTAATTCACACTTCAAACAGGTTTCCTATGTGATCAGCCTGTAGTATAATTTATATGCTTAAATCACAGGTAGCCCAAGCGTAATATGATCAATAATGATGATAATTTAATATACTTAGATGAAATAAATGAAGTAAAAGCGATAAAAGTTATCAATAAAGTGTGATTGGCCGAGTGAAAACAAAGAAGCTGAACTTGCTGGGAGGTGGGTGCGTAGAATTCGTGTATTAGAGACCCTTTAAGGCGAGTGCAAAGCACTCATTTATGCCCCAGCCCCACTCAACTCATGTGGGAGCTGTTAGCTGGGAACCGCACTGCAGTTCTCCCACGATGGGCGTGGGTAAGGCGGTTCAGGAGTTATACCCTGATCTGTGCGCCAGTAAATACAAACTTAACGCAAGAGGCACACATACACCAACCCACGGCCTGGGGGGATATGGCTGTGCGCATGCGTGAGGTACTGGCAAGGCCGTTGGGTAGTGTATGTGTGTCCCTTGCTTTATATTTGTCCTCACGCTAGAACAGTACGCGAAAGGAGTCGCGACTGGGGTTGGGGAAGAAATATTGCTTTATTTCAAAGACCTAAGGTCTATGTCGTCGATAATATAGGTGTCCTACACGCCTAGATATTAGCGCTATATAAACACACAGATACAATAAGGATATAATTCCTGGCCAATAATTCCAGGATTAACGAATCTAACATAACGCTGAGAATCATAAAGTGAAGCCGTCTGCGTTCTCAGTCAAATTGGTCTTGATATCGAATCTTTACACTCATCAGCTTAAACTGACACTTTGCCTCGTTGTTCGGTATCATTTTAATTTCGTTTCCAGAGTAGCTAGGTTTTTCTTCGTATCAGGTGCGATATAACATATACATAGATTAGCAATCAGGTAATATTTCTCTTTGATACCTTGAATTATGTAACGTGTAACTCATTATTCCACCTTTTTTCCAACTATTTAGGCTGAAAAATCATTGGGGAAAGTCAATTAAAGCTCTTTAGAGCTTGCTGTGTTTCCCTTTGCTTTAGCTACATTTTTCATTGTAATAAAAAGATAATGTAGGATGTAAAAGACAGGTTGGCAATAAACAGACAAACACGTAATTGTTTAAAAGAAAATGTCGGATAGTCCTTATATCTAGTATGGTTAAACGTACAACGCTTACTGGTTACAAAGTCTCTAGAATGAAGTATTTTCCAGGAAATAATCTACAAAAGCAATCCTCTCCAAGCTCCTCTTCGCCTTTTTTCATTTTCCTTTTTTTTCTTTCTCAGTGAGCATTTAATCCATACTGGGAGTAAGCGACCACGAAGTAACAGTTATAAACAGAGCACGCTAAGAAGAGAATCATCATCAGGCGAGACTGGCACCTTGCGCTCATCATGTATGCTATCGCTTTCGTGTTGAAGGCCTGGAACTTGACCTTTCCCTGGGAAACAGTGATGAAGCCGACACCAGCTTGGTAATTCTGCAAAGCAATGCCGTCAAGATCTGTAACAGTAACTTCATAGAAGCTGTTTGTGGAGTTCTGACTCGCAATGACGGGCTGTGTCATGACAGTGGGCAGAGATTTCTGATTCACTCTCTCGTGTTGGCAGTAAACGACAAAAAGCGCCAAACAACCAATGAAGAAGAAAATAGGAATGAGCAGTGACGTACCAGCAGCCGCCAAGGCGCCGAAGAGACTCGCAAAACAAAACAATTTTGCGAAGGTTAGGAAGTTGCAACACTGACTGTCGAAGTAGGTTGGCAATTTTGCATTTGGGAAGTAAGGCCTGCTTTGCTCGATAAAATGGTTTGACTTTGCATGTGGAGTATCTCTGACAAATGTAATCTTTCCAACGTCTTCTACTTCTATCTTTCTCCACTTCAGTCGCTCGACTTCAGCTGTCTCAACAGACATGTCACTGGAGAACTCTTAGTAAACCTGTTTCTTTAAAAAAAAGACAGAGCAAATTAGACTTTTGAAACTGTAAGTCAACCGATCCCCCCTCTTGTTAGGTGTCTATCACGCCTTCTAAAACCTTCCACTAATCGAAAATGCTAACACGTTTTTGAAGCCCTTGGTATGCGGTCAACTGTGTATATATAAGGGAATTCTTTAGTTGTTGGAGGAGGGTTTTTGTGATTTCCAGAGTAATCAACTAGAACTAGGTCAACGTAAATGTTATAAGCCGAGGCACACTTACCAGTCTCACCAAGATCTTGATTATTCTCGACAACAAATAATTAAATAATTGTCTCGTCGGTCTATAGCGAAAACTGAACAGGTTTGCTAAGAAAGTTAGAAGTGCGAATCGAAGGTAAAGGCGAACGCAAGTACGAGAGAAATTATTTACATGTTAGACGTACTTTAGACGTACTACTTTGCACTTTAGACGTATCACTTACGGTTGATACATCCGTTTTTTCCCAGAAATGGCATTTTGTTATGGTCTTTGGAACCTTCTCGGATTTCTCAGGCTTAAACTAGCGTACTCAGTGACCTAAGTATGCATCACAGTGTTAACGTTACTAAGTATTCCGAAATGATATTTTTGGTACATTAGAAAAGGAAAAGTACTGGATATTAACTTGCTAATTTTTTTCTCAAGTGTAAGTTACCCACTGTACGATACAAATTATCGTCTAAATCGAACTAACTATTCGTAAGGCATGTACTAAATCTCAAAATAACAAAACAAAGTCCGCAAAACCACCGAGACAAATGATAGGAATTCATCCAAATAGCAAAAAGGACCCACAGGAAAGTGGTCCAACCACTGAACGAAGCGTAACCGCGGAACGAAAACCAGCAATTATGAATCGCAATTAATCCCATTGACTACCTAGCAACAACTTTTTCCATGATTTGCAAAAACTTCCAAGCATATCCAGAGAGAACTCTTTTGATGTATTCGTTGTTGTTGTTGTTTATTATTATTATAATTATCATTATGCAGTATTCGCCTATATATAAGAAATGTAGCTTCAATTCCCAGACGGGGAGGGTGGTTTCACTGAGTGAATCGACAGCAGTTGAATGTAAACATGCTCCTGCTTCAAGTGGTCAAAAGTGCTCCAAATGAATCTGACTTTCAAGGTAAGATTGCGAGTACGAGACTGAGTACTTAGGAACCTTAATTATAAGATACACCTTTTGTGCCCACTGGAACGATTAGGAGAGCATATTTTCCGTGTACAATATTTAAACGACCATCATTTACCGAGAGTAGTTCTGGCATAATCACTCTACGCGTAGCCTGGCGCGTTTCTCCGGAGTAAGAAGCGATCTAACGGTATTCATGGCTACGGATACTAGAAATTTACCGGTACCCAATCAGTAAAGATGAGTTGCTACGTCTCTGTTAAGTAACGGTTAGGGACTTTCTTACCTGTATGTGTAAAGCGAACTCCACTCGTAGTTAAACCCTTCTGTCCACTGAGAATATCCGTTCTTTTTCCGAGAAAGGCAAAAGCATTATAGTAAATGTTTACTTACTACTACGTGGCCGATGCTTAGTTACTTAAGTATGAACATGCTAACCTTACTGAGTAAGTGACTTGTTTGGCCCATGATTTTCAAATGGCTGGTTATAACAAATCTGAATGAAATTAGGTTGATTTTTTGTTTGTTTCCGGTGCAATGATTGCAGCAATTTGCCAGTCTTTTTCATTCCAAGAAAAGATGATATGAGCTGTCTCCTGTCTCAAGCCTTTTCGATTTTAATTCTGATCGGATTGTGGTGCGGATACTAGAGATTTTAATACATAGTTGCTATTACTTTATGTTTTATTGGTTAGTACGTAGTTTCGGCTATCCCTTAGACTTCTTGATCTTTTCCTTCTCGTTGCTTAGACGTTTTCGTTTTCGTTCAGTTCGCTTGTTTCGTTGGGTTTCTTTCTTTTCGGTCGTATTAACTTTCTTCGATGATCGGTTTGGCTTTGGCGTTAGCAAATTGTCATGAATCTACCTATCTTTAAGTTGAAGTAACAAATAGTTAACGACAATTAAGGGAAAAACTTGGTCACGTGGTACAAATTCACGCGGGTGGTTTTGTCTCGCTGTTTCTGTTTGCCATAATACGCTTTCAAATGTTCGGAATAATTAACAATTATTCCTCGAGCCCGAATGGGCTCTGAGTCAATAGCCCATGAGGCCGAAGGCCGAATGGGCTATTGACTCAGAGCCCATGAGGGCGAGAGGAATAATTGTTTTAGTAAAATCCAACTAGTTGGTCGAGAATAAAAAATTTTAGCTACTTAAAGCTAGACTTTAATCCTTTTTTGCCGCCAAAAAGCCCGCGCTTTTTGCTACTAGTGGGCTATAACATATAAGCTAGTAGTAGCTCAACCAATCAGAACACAGCTTTGATAATAGACCACTAGTTGGATTTTACTAATATGTAAAAGTATACTTAAAACAAAGACACAGAACTCAGTTTGCAATGGGTCATCACCAGGGATTTAAAGTTGGTATCTGAAAGAGGTCCAGGGCATCTGGGCGGGCTAAGAGGGAGAGGTATAACTGGAATAGGGTAAGACGGGAATTTTAAAGGGGGCTAACACTGCCCTACCCTTACAATTATATGTCGCTGTTTGACTTTGAAATTGCCCCATCATAATGATCATAGCCAACTCTTGTTCCGGAAATCCTGACTCGCTGTAAAAAGCTCTTGGAGGCCCTGGGATGAACAAAAATACGTTCTCAAGAAGCTTGAATACAAAACAAGTACAAACAAGATGTCGATGTATACTATTCTCTTTTATACTTTAACGCGGAAAAAAGGGAACGCATGGGTAGAGGGTAAAACGAGGAACGCCGTCGATTGGGGCAATTCCAAATTCCGAATTCAGTGGCATTGCTCCCTTGACACCACAAGTGCCGCTTCCAGCATCAAGGACAGAACCCTGAGGATAAGGTAGTCATAAATGCGTGTTGGGCCTGGCTCACACTGGTAACTTAATATAAAGATGAGGGTTTTTCTTCTGTCATATGTATACATCGTTTCCTTACTTTCTTACGTCGCACATTGTTACAGTGTTGCTAGTGTGAACAGACGCGTGAGATCTTGCGAAATACAAGTTTCATGAATTTCAGCTCGTTTCATTTTTCTTATTTTCTGCCAAACAAATTAAAAGAACAACGTACTACTGGAACAATGGTATCAGTTTTATTCATCTCAACCCCTAACCCATTATACACCCAAAAATGCACTTTTTCTTTTAATAGAAATAATCAATTACAGCATCCAAAATCGGACATCACATCTACAAGTACAATATAATTTACGTCGTTTAAAATTCCCTGAATATAATAATAAAAAACATTGAAAATCCTCACATACGAAACAGTCCATAACAGTATTCTGATTCAAGCAAAAAATGATGAAATAAAGAAATGCTTAAGAATATTTTTACAAAAGAATACATGGCAAACAGCCTATGATAAACTGTTGATAGATGAATTTTTTAAGTTCTTACTATCATTAACTTATTCAAAAAACAATTATGGTACTCTCAATTGATTGAACTCTGGACTTGACTGCAATAGGAATATACAGAAAGTGTAAAAGGCGAGATGCTTTGGAATACAATTAAATATAGAGGCTAAGCGTACAAAAAATGTACTACGAACTTGAAATAAAGTTGTTCTTTTTCCTGAACCCTTGCTTGAACGTATCAGCTGGCTGAAAAATGCTTCAGTGTTGCTGACAATCATTCAACGTCACTTTCTGACATCTAAACAAAGCTATAGGGTATCTATAATAAACAGACCCGCCCAAAAACCGAGGGTTTGACTTCTACATTTCAAGTACTTTATATTTAATGCACTGCAACAATGCATTGCACAACACGAGGAATGATATTACCAGTGAGTCATTAGATCTGCCTGAGCAAGGATTTGTATTCAGAAAAAAGACAATCGAACGCATCATAAATGGCCTCGACTAGCTTAACTTTCCAAGTTGAGCTTTTTTAAATAGTTCACTAGCCGTGAATATAATGGAGTCGATTATTCCAGCTACAGTAAATGTTCCTCCAACGATTGCGCACACCTGAAAGAAGCAAAAAGACAGGTAACATAACATGGTCGATTGCAAACATTCAGAGATGACTTTTACAGTAAATCTGATTCGGGAAAAAGTCGCCAAAAGCAACTTCTGAATCTAATTCTTATGATAAGCCTGCTAAAATAACTGATGCAACTCTTTTGTAAAAATGACAGTGAAGCAATCGTTAGACCATACCGTGGTTATGAAGTGATAAAGAGGCTTTCGTCTCTCCACATACTTTACTGTTATGGGGCTTAAATCATACCGAAACCAAATGGCTAAAACAAGAACATATACGGCAACCTTTAGTATAAATAAGAAAGCATTTTGTCCCGCCCTCCCATCCCTGATATTTTATAGGCCTCCTCCGCTGAGCCTAGCGAGGTTCTGCGATACACGTATTTCTGATACTGCAGTACCGCTGAATACCTGCACATCTACTGAACAATAAAATAAAAGTAAAATGTTTGGCTGTTTGGCAGCTGTCTGATGTGAGGGTAAAGTTACAAACTGTGACAATTTTGGGTAGCTCAGTACACTCAGGGCTATCATTAGTGGCCGACTACTGTAATATATCAGCCGGCTACTCTAAGTTTGAGAATGAGTTAAACATAACAAAACAAGAAATAGAGGAGAATTTGAAGGATAAAATAATAACCGGCTGCTTTCCCTGGGAGACCAGCTTCTTAAAACCTCATGACAGCCCTGCTACTGCAATCTTAAAAACATTTTATTGATACTTTACCTGGTAAAATCCGCCCTCCATGTCCGTAAGCAACGTAATCCTACAAACGGGCAATAACAGGGCAGATAAGAAGATCATCTACACTGTGGCCTTTAAGGGCTTAAGTATAACAGCTAAATTTCCATATTCAGTTACCTACAGCTGTACATGTAATTTCCACGTTTATTGTTGAGCGCATAGAGTGAACACAACGAATTATCAAGGCCAATCTGGCGAAAAAATGTTTGGTAGAAAGGGGGGGTGCGGTGTTTGTTACCTACGTGTACTGTGTGTCGCAGTATGGGTTACATGTAAGTTGGAATCCTTTGTATTCTGACACTTTTGCGATCCTACCAAGAAATGACCGTTTTTTCGGGCACACTGTATTATTAGCAAGTAAGTTAAGACTTCATTTTATCATATAAACACCAATGAAATACCAGGTGAGCTTTCGCGCGAAAACTTGGTATCTTCACATGTGAAAATATCACCGTTGCTATGGCTTCACAATAAATCGCGTCTTTCACACCAAAAAACTATTAAAGTGAAATGGTTTGGTAGTTCATTGGTGTTTATATAATAAATAGAACATTACTTCGCCGCTTGGAGATACGAATTTTCTCTTCTCGTGTTGAAAAAATATTTCACTTGTTCGCTGCGCTCACTCGTGAAATATTTTTCAACACTTGAAGAGAAATTTCGTATCTCCGCGCGGCCATGTAATATCCTCTATGGATGACACAATTACTGGAAAACTAGTAGTTTTCACTGTGGTACAAAGTTTACATTAGCATTTACACTACATTTTAGTTTATATCTATTTTCTCCCATCTGTTATAGCTCAAAGTAAACTGGCTCGAAGAACAAGACTCAACATACAGTGTACATTAAGTAGATACGTAGACTTGAACTAGGTCAAAAACATTTACTTGCTACTCAGAGTTTCATGCTTCATGAGAAGCAATCATCAGGCAACTGCCAAAAAGAAACAATACATGGTGTTTTATAGTGATTTTGAAAAAAACGGTAGCGATTCATAATAGGCTGGGTTGTATAGCAACGGATAAACAATTTTCAGTAAACCGCTGAAAAAGAAAAAATAAAATACGTCTTACAGGCTTAAATAATCACGTTATTTAGAAGAAATTTCTTTGCATGTCTGCAACTTGATACGAGTTCATTTCTGTTGTTCAGGGTCGCCATATTCGGTCTACAAATTATATAGTACTTCTCCCACAGACATAAATTACACTTCTTCGTTACATTTGAATAGGATCTTGCATGTCTAATACACCGCCATCTAATTTGGTAGTCAGTTTTCTTGTCTTTCAAGCCCCATACATACTTGCTTAGCTCAGTGGAATTTCTATAACGTTCATTTCTAAAGGAGCAAGTGTGGTTTCTGTAACGCGATTTGAATGATGTGTCACAAAGACCAATGTAAGTTTGCTTCGAGTGCGATGTCGTGACTTCTGCTTGGTATATGATATTCCATTTGAATTTCGTCATTTCATTTTTGTGTACATTAAGTATGTATTTTGGAACTACACATGATTGTAGTAGCACTTGTTATCTGTACTTGCAGTTAATTGGCGTGCCAACCTTGTAAGCCCAGGTATACTGGTAGGTGAATGTTTTGCTGCCATCCAACTTCTCATAGATTGTAGGAACAATCTTCAATACATAATCATGTGAGGACAAGCCTAAAACAGAAAATATTTACCTTATTTGAAAATGCACATGGATGTTACATGAATCCAGTTTGTGTTATTATTGAGATTCAACTCTAATATTATGAGAAAAATTAGAATCTCGTTCCCACTATGCCCCTACGGGCTAACTTACCAGTCCCCCTGAACATGTACTGCTAAACCGTAAAATTCCGAAAATAAGCCCCGGGGCTTATATTTTTCAAAGGCCCTTTTTGAGGGGCTTATTTTTGGAGGGGCTTATATTCGGAGGGGCTTATCTACGGACGGAAATTTGCGTTTCAAAATCGATTGGGCTAGCCTTATAGTTAGCCTCCCCGCAGACGTCCGTTGGGGTACGGTTGTTGTCACGCATGCGTGACAACAACCGAACCCCAACGGACGTCTGCGGGGAGGCTAGCCTTACAGTTGGAAGTAAATTTACCGTTTTTGCTTGTTTTACTTTGTATTTGAGGGCAATTCCAAGTACAAGGCCCTGGAGGCTTATATTTGGAGGGGCGATTTAACAGAGGGTTTTTGGCGTTACCGGGTTTGGGGGGTTTATACATGGAGGACGCTCTGGAAAAAAATTATAGAAACTGCAACCAAAGGATACATTGATTTAATATGATCATATTAAAATATCATGACTTTGTACTTACTATTTACGTGCTCTCTGTTCTGTCCTTTTAATGCCACAAATGCACCCGGAATTTTCTCCTATAAAGTAGAAAAAAAAACATCTTAATTTCCATGCAGCTTAACATAGAAACACAACAGAGAATGAAACTGAAACTGTTTTGGTCAGGTAAAAAATGATCATCCTTCCTAGGAGTTACATATGTTTTCTAGGAAAAATCATAAAAAGAAAATCTGAACACCGCGGGGAGGTAAAGACCTATTTATTAGGGTGCTTTATAGTTATTAGTGTGCCAGTGCCAAGTTCTTCAAAAGGTGAATAAAGTTATCCAGTGGATAAATCTCTATTCAGTGGATTCACTTGGTTTCCCTTACCCACCGGAGATTGATTAATCCGTTTGAAAGTGCTATCCAACGTTTGAATAACCAGGGGGTGAAGAATGTTGTAAGCAATCCTTCTGTGGCAACAAGTGCAGCTTCAAAACACTTAATCATAGACCTCATTAGCTTGCACGTTTTGTTTTTCCAATGTAGGTCATGTGATAGTACTCTAGAGAACTGTTTCCTTAAACGTTCGTATCATTCAAACGCACAATTCCCCTGAGACCTTTACTGGAAAAATAAAACATACAAGCCAAGAAGTTTTTTTCTACAAGAGTAATCTTTTTTCCTATTAGTGAGCTGAGCAGAGTTACTCTTCCAAACAAAGCTGAAGTCATGATGATCTTGGGTCAAAAAACAAGTGCAATATGATTTACAACTTACAGTACCTTAATTTCTGTTCCAAAGTTGATAGAGTTAATTATATGTGCCATGTCTGGTTTGTCTGGCTGTGGATAAATATCAGAAAAGCATTTCTACCAAACAGATGAAACAAATGAAAAAACCATGGAAACGATTGATGTTTGGACAAGCAATCTCAAGTTTCATCTGAGAGAAAAAACTTTTTGAGGGCCCATGCTATTGGTAACCACTGTAAAGGCTGTAGTTGACAGACTGCTTCCTACATGTGTATATGTTTTTGATTAGGTTAAAAAGGGTGAATGTTGGCCATTTTCTCTCTGCCACAAATTAGCCTAATTTCACATAAAAGCACTATACACTGTAGCTTATTCTCACTTTATGTTACGGAATTAAATTCTTATTAACGAATACTGCACCTGTTGGCCTGCACCATGAGTAGAAACATGAAAATTTCCAGGTACCTAGAAAAAAATTGCATACATGTATTAAAGTACCATTAACAAATAAAAACTGCACTCCAGACTCCTGTTCAGGCATCCTACAGTACCGCTCAAAAGTAAGTTGACAGTCTGTGGCATCTCAATCATCGAGACTCGAGACTTGATTCTCGATTCTCGAAACTTTCGAGGATGGAGTCTCGAGTCTCGAGAATCGGAGGGGGCCTCAAAAGAGTGACTTTGTAAGGTTTGTAAATTGGCTGTCTGGTATTGAAAATGTCAACTGTAAAACAAAATATTTTTTGGCAATGTTTAAAGAACAATCTAAAATTAACAAACATGAGTATTAAAGTGTAGCTTCCCAAAGGGATGAAAAAGCCCACTAACTGAAATGTGTACTG